TATAGCTTACTTACCTCAGGAAGGAAGCGCTCTACATATTTGGCCACTATGAGAACACAGGCGTAGGTATAGCTTACTTACCTCAGGAGTGAAGCGCTCTACATATTTGGCCGCTATGAGGACACAGGCATAGGTATAGCTTACATATAATTACCTCAGGAGGAAAGCGCTCTACATATTTGGCCGCTATGAGGACACAGGTGTAGGTATAGCTTACTTACCTCAGGAGGGAAGCGCTCTACATATCTGGCCGCTATGAGGACACAGGCGTAGGTATAACTTACTTACCTCATGAGGGAAGCGTTTTACATATTTGGCCGCTATGAGGACACATGCGTAGGTATAGCTTACTAACCTCAGGAGGGAGGCGCTCTACATATTTGGCCGCTATGTGGACACAGGTGTAGGCATAGCTTACTTACCTCAGGAGGTAAGCGCTCTACATATCTGGCCGCTATTAGGACACAGGCGTAGGTAGAGCTTACTTACCTCAGGAGGCAGGCGCTCTACATATTTGGGCGCTATGAGGACACAGTCGTAGGTATAGCTTAATTACCTCAGGAGGGAAGAGATCTACATATTTGGCCGCTGTGAGGACACAGGTGTAGGCATAGCTTACTTACCTCAGTATGGAAGCGCTCTACATGTCTGGCCGCTATGAGGACACGGGTGTAGGTATAGCTTACATATAATTACCTCAGGAGGAAAGCGCTCTACATATTTGGCCGCTATGAGAACACAAGTGATGCCAAGGAGCTGGAGTACAGCCAAGGAGATCTTCACTCTATTTAGGATCTCGTCTATAAGTGCCACAGAAAGGTGTAGGGTTTGCTGGCACATCTGCTGGTGTACCTAAGAATATATTTCATATAGATAATAACCTGTGTAGACACAGTCCAGGTAACATCACTTGATAATCCAGGTAGTGACCACAGGAAGGACCACTACCAACTGTTATCATACCTGTCATCTAATGTCATACCTGTCATCTTATGTCATACCTGTCATCTAATGTCAAACCTGTCATCTAATGTCATACCTGTCATCTAATGTCATACCTGTCATCTACTGTCATACCTGTCATCTAATGTCATACCTGTCATCTAATGTCATACCTGCTATCAAGTGTCTCACCTATTGTCTTATTAGTCGTCTAGTATCTTACCCAACAACTTGTGTACAACCTGTGGTCTAAGTGCCTTACCTGTGGTCTAAGTGTCTTACCTGTGGTCTAAGTGTCTTACNTAATGTCTTACCTGTGGTCTAAGTGTCTTACCTGCGGTAAAGTGTCTCACCTATTGTCTTATCAGTTGTCTAGTATGTTACCCAACAACTTGTGTACAACCTGTGGTCTAAGTGTCTTACCT